TACAACACACGATATTTCAAATTCAGAATTCAAGTTTCAGATAAAAAAAAGGTTCCAGCTTTTTTTTATCGATTATGTCTTTGATATCTCTTGGCATGAAGCCAAGCGACCCGTCGTCGTGTTATATTTAATCTTTAATTTGTACCGAAATAATTCAATACGTTTCTCAAAGGGAAGTCTAGACGGCAATAATTATTGTATTCGACCTACAAACTCAATATCTCGTTAAATAATACCATGCAACGTTCCAGAGTAAATGTACGTACAGCCTCCGTACATCTATCGTGAGCTTGTCATCAAAAAAGAATTTGAAGATTCTTTTTATAAAACTTATTTTTTTTTAGACGTATTTATATAGCATTTATTAATTTCTGACGGTAAATCTTTTGCTTACATAAAGCTTTGGCCTCATCACAGAGCGAGAGTTTGTAATACATTATGCAGATCTAAATTGTTGCTGTCACGCGGAGAGTCGAGCTCCGGCAACACCCACGTCATTTTGGCCATCGTTCACACTGTAATGTCAGAAACATCAGAAGATGATGTTAAAGTTATTTGCAATTTATAGTTAAATAAGTGATCTTGTATCAATGAAATTATCAGTCCGAAATTATTAGTCCGACGAAAGATTGAAAGGTTGTTATCAATATCTCTTTTAGCGATGTTTCTCTTCGGGTTTATGAACAATCAGGCAGACGTAGAGAATTCGATTGGCATGAAAAAAAAGTGTAAGATCAAAAAGTAATAAAGAAAAATCGCGTAACCAGAGATGAGGACTGAATTGGAAAGGGGCAACGAAGCGAAGTTAGAAATCAAAGCTTAACAAGGAAGCAGTTCCTATCATTGAAAGCTCGTTTTCCCCGTCAATGGCCACCATCGGAGCATACAGTCGGCGAATGCGCATCGGATGCATTCCGGAGGTGGGGGTGCGAGGGCGCGGAATGAAGAGGCTGTGATCGGGAACTGTTTCTGCACGAGGAGAAAGAATTGGCCACGCTCTTTCACCCCTTTTTCCATTTTTCTCTCTTTTCGTGCTCACGATCGTGCTATCGATCAACGCGGCACGACGGAATGCCAATCGTCCATCCGGCCTGTGAATTCGTTCCTCTTCATTCTTTTGCCCCTCGTTTACGCCCGCGCTCTACGGACAGCAATGCACCCCGCTAAATGCACCCTGTGTACATTTTATTCGGCTCCGTATCATCTGTTCGTCCTCGGCTCATCTATATGCGGCGTCGCGGCGGACTATTCTCGGAGTGAAAGCGACTCCTCTCGCACCGTTCACCGTCGCCGCGTGTTTCGAGAAACGCTCCGACATCCAACACGATACATTCTCCCGGCAGTGATATACGTTCACCGTGGAAATCGGGGTAAAATGGTGTCCAGTTGTGTCGGGTGAGGCAACGATCGAAGATGAAAAATTCGTCAGTTTGCAGTTACAGATACGCGACACACGCAAAAAAAAAAAAAAAAATCTTTGACAGAAAAACAATCAACGTAAATCTCTCTCTTTCCTCGTTCTCTCTCACTTTCTCTCTCCTTCTCTCTTTCCCTCTTTTTCCACATGTCACTTTTTTTTCTTTTATTCAAACCGATTCTTTGATTTTAATACGGCCTAAAACAGATGTAAGTTGTACGTGAACGAAATTGTCAAAATAAACCCATTTTATATCTCAATTCTTTCACGATCAACTTAGAATTTTGTTATTCAAAATATTCTCCTTTCAAGCTTCTCATGTAAACTACAGGCATCCCAATGTGAATTTGCGAGAAGACTTCTTATGAGAGTTAATCGATGAATTTGATCGATTAAAGTTGTAGAGCCAGAATATTCATAATCCGTGATTCAATTTGCCATTTGCAGGAGATTAATGAATAGTGTAAATGGAAAAATTCGTTGAGTGTACCCATCCTTGTCATTTATGTCAATTCAGCGGTTTTTTACGAAATTAAAGGGCGCGGGTCAGTCAATTTGTATTCGTTCGTGTATATGTACATAAAATTATACCATACAAATGCTACTAATTGCAAGTAACATAGAGATCCCAGCAAACACAATTTGAATTTCTGCAAATCTACTACGAATCGCGAATTGCAAATCACGAATCATCATCGCACGTAATTAGCATACGGCATATATGTATTTCGAGGAATTTACCGCTACATCAGTGCCGATCACGCTGTGTATATCGAGTCATTAACACGACCTCGGTATATCCGAGTATTAATGTTGGACGAAAATCCCTCGGAGACAGTTTGCGTCGCGCTTAGGGTCAAATAAGTTTGCCGCCGCAACAGCGGTGGTCGGCAAGCGAGGGGGTTGGCAAGCAAGGGGGTCGACGAAAGTGCGAGACAAATTGAGCCTGGGCTTTGTAAGATGCGGTCTGGACCGCGGAGCGTGAACTCGCTCGTAGTGTCACACAGAGGCCGGAGGCTGTCCGGGGCAAAGGGGTGAAAGGCCCCCCGCGCTTCCGGTGAGTCGTAAGACTGTTGTACGAACGGAGGGAAAAGGGATTCCTGAGCGACCGCAGGAATTTCGCGGCAATCTCGTCGTCACGACGCGCCGCGCCGCGCCGCGCCGCGCTGTCGCGTTCATGGAGATTCTCTTCTTTCCTCGTCGCGAGGTTGAAGGGGGAGGAGAAGGATTACACAATGAAATATATTTCTCCGCTCTTTCGCCCGTGAATACGTCGACGCACCCTCGCTAAATATAAGCCCGCCGCCTTGCACCGGCAAAATCCCACAAATCACAATGCCGCACAAAAAAAAAAAAACAACGCGAAGAGGGAAACGAGTCTCCCGCGTCGGATCCATTAGGTCAACTTCTCCTTTTCTCGTCGCTCTTATACCTCTGCTAGTATCCTCTCACCTTGCTAGATGAGAAAGAGAGAGAGAGAGAGAGAGAGAGAGAGAGAGAGAGAGAGAAAGAAGAAGGGTGTATGTGTATGTGTTACGATAGACGATCTGGATTATTCGATAATGCCACTTAAGAGCATTTTAAGTGTCAGACCGATAAGCACGCCTACTGTCTCTCTCGAGGAAAATAAGCTCGCCAGAGTTCAATTGGATTCTGCTCTCGTTACAAATTGTACGGATCTATTTCTCTCCCTTGGCTACAAAGCCAGATAATTTATATTCTGAACAAAAAGGATCCGTTTAAACTCTTCCGTCTTTCGACCCGAACCAGATTACAACATTGAACAACAACAGCAATTTATATTGAAACGTGTGAGAGTTTTAAATACACGAATTAAGAAAATCCTCTAAAATTTAAAAACTGGAGATTTTTTATTTTAAATTATTCAAGTTAAATTATTCAAATTCATCGCGTGAGTTTTAAAATTAAATAGATTTGTTACAGTAATCGCAATTTATTATAACCAAATATTTTCTTAGTTCTTGACAATAAATATTTACGGAAATAATAAAATCCGTGACTGTGAATATCTGCAAAGTACATATCTGTGTGTTGATAGATTGTAACAGTGGATGAAACTTGATCGATCGATTGTAACGCGTCGGGCAACGAGAGTTCGATGAAAGAGAAATACAATTATATTCCAATTAGTGTCTGAAATCGGAATGGCTCCGAGACATCCATTCGCGATGTATATCACTGACTATCGCTTGATGTAAAACTTAACAAACCTAGTAAAATGAAAACTTTTATTGGCAAGTTTGCCATTGAGATATATATTTGCATAAATTCTGGGAAACTTTTATAGTTTTGTATAAAAAAAGTTATAATATTATTTGCAAATATGTATTGATGTACATTATAATGTATATTTTGTAAAATTTTATTAAAATGAAAATAATTTTTTGAATTTTAAAAATAAAATGTAAATAAATTAACTATATTATAAGCCTCGACGGTTGTTGAAGCATAAATAATATATTTATAAAATATAATTCGCAAACAGAATGTACTTACCAACAAAGTTAATTGCAAATGATTCGACTCTGAATTAGAATCCTCTTCATTGCGAAAGTAGTTTGCACTCGCTTTCTGCACTGAAGAGAATTCAAATCCAGCGTCGAAATGTTTGCAATTAATTTCGTTGATAAGTACATTCAAATTATTTGCGAATTATATCTAATGACCTTATAAATGTATCATTTACGCACTAACAAGCGTATGGAAGCAATTTACTTATTTAATTTATAAAATATATTTAGATACAACTTTTAAAGAACTTTAATACACTCAGTTCATTTTTGTTAAAAAATAATAATTTTTATGCACACAAATTGCACTTACATCGACATTTATTACGCGGTAATTATCATTAACGACAGCGCGTTCGTTTGAGAGCGAGAAATTCGGGCATAACCCTTTTTACGTATACTGGAAAAAAAACGATGATACGAGCTTAATGGTGTCGCGGGTCAAAAACCATTAGAGCCGGTGGATCGTGTGCGATGCACGTGTCGGACATGTGTGTAACGATGCAGAATGCAACGCTTAAATGCATCTTGTTACAAAAGTATACACAACGTATCATTCTTTTACAAGAATCTTACTCTTTATCAGATAGAAGCATCAGGTTTAATTTTAAGATAAATGTAACATACCGTCCTAATTTATTTTGCAATAAAATCAATAATGTATATTAGATTTTTCGTAATTATTTAAAAAATTGTTTAATAAATTTGTGAGAACCATTAATTTTATTAAATTGCAATACTGCAATGGCAGCACACAACATTATAAAAATTTCAAAATTAAATTACTAATACCTAAAAAAATCATACATGGTAAAAGTCGTCAAAATTAAATTGCAATATTTAATAAAAATGAGATATTTATTAAAAATGAAATAATTGCCACGACGTGTTTGGCAAAGATTATCTTAAATTAATCCTCATAATAAATTTCGTATATAATATTTAACATAAACTTGGATATAAAATTTTAATCGGAACACGATTTTTTACTGAAACTAATCTCGTTGCATGCTGATCTTATTAATTTGAGTTATTGGACACGTAATACATACTATGCTCTCAGCGGAAGGGTGATCCTGGTGTCCGGAAGGTCTATTTCCTTGCAACAGCGCCTCGAGACTCTCGATATACTCGATAGCGTTCCGCAATATCTCCACTTTAGGTAAACGTTGGTTGGGGTTGTTGCTCGTTCTCCTCTTGAGCACCTCAAAGGCCTCGTTGACCTGTAATAGAAATTGCATAATTAACCACACGTGTCGGCGTGAATAATACACACAACAATACAGCACGCTTTGAAGGAAGTGCACTAGAAAAAAAATTGAGTACCTTCAGAAAAATTATTTAATTGAGGCATTTTTTAACCGCAATCAAATATTTTGTTTATACAACAAAAATTCAGTTGTAAATAACAAAAATATTTGTTTATACCAATAACTAAACAGTTTTACATAAAATTATAGTTTCGTTCGATATATTTTAATCAAAAATTTTTGTTCGGCATGTCTCAAATTATTATTGTTACAGCAAAATTTTGGTTCATAGAACAAAACATTTTGCTTAGTATGGGGGGAGAATGGAAGGAGAGAATTGTACAAAACAATGTAATATCGCATTTATCCGTCAGCAGAATTTCTTAAAAACTGTCGAATATATCTTTATAACAAAGTTATGTTATTATTATTTATGAAAAATTTGCCATGGTCGTCGGGTTTTTACTTTACTTAACTCCCCTTTATATTACATATGCGGGCGTCGGATTTCAAACGATTCTTAGCAAGATTCAACACTTAGGCCCATCCTTGAAACGCTATTCGTCATTCGAATCATCCAAAGCAGCGCTTAGTCGACGATCACTTCGCGCATGCAGATGTTTTCCTTCCGTCAGCGCGTTCTCTTTGAGGCTGTTTACTTCGAAAACACGATTCATGCATGATGTGCTTTAAGTAATTATAAGCAGGCTGGCCAAAACAGCAACGTGTATGTTCAGTAAACGAGAAATATGATTTAGATGCACGTTAAGACTGATTTGTCCGCCATCTTGAATGCAACATACATATATCCGTGATTTCGGGACAATAAATTAAGCTTGTGAAATTCTAATGTGATTTACAAAAATCTCTTTAAATTATTGCGGATTATGCATCGCGAATGTACGCTGTTAGATATCAAAGCAACTCAATCCCTTAAATCACATTTTGTTATTTTTAATATGTGTCCATATAATACATCAAAATGTAAATCAATCCATTTCCACATAGTTAGTTTCAATTTAAACATTATCCACGTTTGCATTTAATAAATAATTTAATAAATAGTAAATTAAATTTGAGTCAAATTTAATATATTTTCTTGAATTAAATTGTTTTAGTCCAATAACTCCATTATTTTAATCAAATTAACAATATACTGGGTATTGGGTAGAAACAGTAGCGACCTATAAACATGATTAAAATAACTCAAATTGGGTATAATTGGACATTATAATTTCAGCAGTGTATGTCAAAGAATGAGAATTTGCATATTATAGAAAAAAAAAGAAACACTGTTTTAGCGAACTCTTTTTGCGTTTCGAACTGAACATATTACAAATCCTAATATGCCATCGATCTTGTATAAAAACACAAAATGAAGAACACACTTGTTATTCCCAGAATCGAGACCTTTAAGAAATGTGTAAAGCATGTGTCTTAGGGGTTAATGGCAACTGACCTTTCTCAAGCGCCGTCTCTCGCGCAAGGTGGCAGCTTTCCTTCGATCGACGGTGACCGTCTTTTTCTTGCAGGCCTTGCAGGCCCACAGAAGACACCTGCGCGGTTCATGCGGCGAGCCGGCGTCCAAAACGTGAGGATGAGGTACATGCTCGATCGACTCGCCCTCGTTCGTTTCGCTCGTCTCGTTGGTCTCGTTGGTCTCGTTGAGCTCGTTGGTCTCGTCGGCGTCTGCAGAGCCGGATTCGAGGTCAGCCGATGCATCCGCCGATATCACTGACGAGGCGTCATCCGAATCAAGGGTGTACCGAGACTGCGACCTGAATCGTGAAACGTTCTATACCCATCGGTATTATCGAGAATCATATTAAAAATAGGCTATTCTCGTCCTTTACTGTCCTATTGACAATGAAACGTTACTATTATTTATCGGCTTGAAATAATTTTCAGCATAATTTTTATGCTTACCCTATCATACACTTTTTTAATGGATTAAATAAGAACACGCGATATTTTCAAGACAAAAAACTATACAATTACAAGTTTTGATAAAGTTCACGAAAAAAGCTTTAATTCTCGATTGGAAACAAATTCTGTTCGATTATTTGTTATTCGATTAGTAAGTCGCAAACTATTATACAGGGATATCCAGTTTCCTATGAAGCAGCGCATATACCTCGCACGTGTAGGTATATACATACATACCGCGACATAAATTTCATTCCGCGAAAGACGAGCTGTTGCCGCGCGCTGAACGTAAGAAGCCACGCTGACTTACCGAACGCTGAAAAGCCCGGCATAGGTATTTAGCGAATGAACGAATTCGCAGATTCTTGCCTTAATCATCCTTTAGTTATCGCCGGCAGTTAATGATGGACGCAAGCGCGTAGGTCCGTCGGGAGGCGGTTTCCGCGATTGGACACGTTCCAGGTGGTCCCGCGGAAAATGTATTTCTTCGCCGCAAAGAGACGCTCTCATCTCGCCGAGAGGGATGGATGTATAAAGGCGAAACGCGATGAACGGAGTGAAAATGGTTTAATGCGCGGTAAAACCGTCATCGAGTCTTTATTACGAATAATGATTCTTGTTCGTGTGTTCGATCATGTGACAGTCATAAACGCGCCGATCTCATTAAAATTTCATCGCATCGCAGAACAGACGAATCAAAGAAGAACAAAATATAACGATGAAAAAAAATCAGAAAAAAATTTATCACATAAAATGACACGAAAATGCGATAATGTAACTTTCGACTTTTACGTAATCGTAACAATATTAAGGAAGTATCTCTCTACACATTTTTTTAATTTTATTAATTCAATATTTAAAGTGTATTTTAATGTTTATTAATTTTTAATCATTATTAGACTAATTATTTAGAGACAGAGAGAGAGAGAGAGGAATAGTATTGTCTAAAGAGAGGAATTTCTATGTGCCAAACATATGCGAAACTTATTGTATAATTTATATGAATTGAAATTTGGTGCGAGTGTACCGCTAATGCTATAAATACTATAATCCTAATTCGTGAAAGCGACATACTGCAGCTTTGTGCTTTGATGGTAAAACAATGTTGGATAAATCTGATTTAGTCTCGTGAAATCCAATAATGCTTCGATAGTACAAAGGTAAAAGCCGAGAGAAGAGAAATGCACAGAAAATTGATTTTAGCGCACACACACACACACACAATACAAGATACAATAATTTAAAATCTAAAAGGATTATATTCATGCAGATAAACATGAACAAAAAAATAAAACTGCTAATCTCATCTAATCACTTTATTCTTCTAATTTATAAAAGAAATTCGAAAATAAATCTTATGTAAATTTCCATAAGTATGTATGTTTATTGTGTTAAGCTCAATTCAAAAAGATATTTTTTATATACACGTACACATAATTTAAGTCTAGTAGAATAATTCATAGTACAAATTTAACAAATAATAAAACAATAGCAAATAGTAAATAAGATCCGAATTTTTTTATATTGGTCTCAATAACACGTCAAATGTAACAAGGAAAACGGTAAAAGAAACGAGAAAACAGACAAGAATTTTGAAGAAATAATCAATCTTGTCATCTAGCATAATGAAAAACAATTATTCTGCATATTTTCGAAGATATCTATCAGAGATTGAAGTTTTGAAACATTAATTCACATATCAAGTGTCATATTCTTCTTGTGAGAATCTAATATATATTAGAAAGGATATATATAAAAGTATTAAGTTTCAATTTTTCCGACGATATATTTGTGAGTGCTAATCTTATTCTATAGAAACATGATATAAATAACTGCGCTTAGCTAACCCTCTCTCCCCTCTCCGAAATGTTACAATATTAACTTGTATAATCTATAATTTAATAATATAGAATATCTATATACAAAAATGTTTAATTCACTCTATCACTTTGAAATATAAAAATGGTTTCGATTTGTAGATGCATAGTTTTATTTAAAAATATGTCAAATAAATCATGCGATGCTACGAGAAAAAATAAAAATAGCATTAGATAAGACATCCCAAAGAGATTTTTTTTAACGGAACAACAAAATGTTCTTTACAGAATATATGCTACATTGGACGTTGTTTGAACTATATTTCATTGTCTCCGTGTGCCATAATTATTTCCAAAGTTACGCTTACATTTTATGAAACAACTAACACAGAAGCGGAGGAAGGAAAGGAGGGATAGACAAGCAACATGCTATGAAGTTGCGATGCACTGACAGGAGCGGAAACCGGAGTAGCCCGAAGAAATAAATCAGCTTCATTTTTAATAAGAATGACAAGGCATTATACAGTAAAAATGTTCGAAATTGTAAAATATTATAATGTAAAAAAGAATTATTTTTTTTTCCAAAATTAATTAATTAAACTTAATTGCACAAAATAGAATATCAATTTTATTTCTTTTTAAGCGGAGGTTCGTGTACGTGTATGTATAGACAAGCATCAAATTTAAGAAGAAGTAAATGATTTAGGATAAGTTGCAAGTATATAATTTTTTGTTTGTGTTTGTGGATATTTTACGATATATGTAATTGTGTTCCAAAGGAATTAATAAATTGTTACTACTACCAGAATATTAAATTTATAATGCATTTTTGTCAAAACTAGATTAATTAAATATTTCGAAACAGAAATTAATTCCATTTTTGGCCGTTTTCGATACTTGATAAATATTTAATCAATACGATTACTTGAAAAATAATATTATATTAGGAATATATAATATATACAATAATGTCAATAATATCGATAATAGCCATAATAGGTACGCACAAAATCATTATAGTAATTGTTGTGGCAAAATCTCATTTAAAGTTTCCTCATATCCTCCATTAATAAGCTTATAGTGACCTGATTTTAAGCCCGTCAAATGGCATTAATAATGTAACTTGAATAAAAGCTCACCTGACTCGGTCGTTGCGATAATTCAACGAGCCGGCCGACGCCAAAGCGTTGTTAACGCCGATAATCCTCGCGCGGTCGTCCGTATCCCTCCTGGTGACGTATCCCTGTAGATATTCGGATTCAGTCGGCGTATAGACACGTCGATACCGATGGGGATGATGATGATGGTGATGATGGTGATGTAAATGATGACGATAACCGTCGTAAGCTGATCTCGTGACCGCTTCGTAGGCGTAGGGCACCGTATCCGTCACGAAGGTCATCATCTCATGCGATCCGTCGAGAAAGCGTGCGACGATCACTGTACTCGATCACTTCAGGCAGCCCTCGAAGCACCCCGATCCGTCCACGTATTCACCCTCGCGTGAACTCATCACGAACGAGACTAACGGAAGCGATGCAAAATCGCGCGTGGTTTAATTAAATTTTCTCTCAATGACATCGCCTGCGTCTTGATCACCGCGTACTCCATCAAACAAGCATTCATCCGATTTCCTCGACCGTACTTCAACTGGAGAAAGATTTGATGTAAATAAAAGTTCGCTGAATGATGATATCCGAGAGGTATGATCTTTCGAGATGAAGACAGTTCAGGTTGTAATGCAATCAAAAGTTAGTTGACCTAAAGACGGAGATGGTCGACGCTGAAAGTACCTGTCATAAAATCGCAACAGCGCTTTTGTTCGTCGCGATGGCGGCTAATTTGCTTTTCTCTTCTTGTGTCTAGAAGGGATGATGAATTACTAATCCCGGCGAGAACACGAACGCACTTGGTGGTCAGTGTTAACTTCCCCCTTCAACTTCTTCGTTAACTTTACCGAGTCCAAGGCTCCAGGCCAATTCTATCCAAAGTACGGGGATTTTCCGCTCTGATTCGCTAAAACCACTAAGATTCCACCCTCGCGCGTCGCTCCTTATTTAAGTTGCTCAACTACTGTTCGCTGTATTATATCCATGCGGCAATCTTTGCATATTCATCGACCGACGCAGCTCAGACATGACTTATTCGGTCATAAATCTAAGGTGAGAGACTGATTTTCGAGAAGAACGAAATTACTTTACGGATCTTACAAAACACAAGAGTGTTATACCACTTCGCGTCAATCTACACATGTAACTCGAGATGTACGGCGCGGACGCACTTTCTCGTCTTGGGATTTATAAAGATTGCGCGATCGAAACGGGAAACAAGTCGCACTATTCGACCGAAAAGGTTCCGAGGAAGATCACTCCATCCCGACGTCGCGAGAGTCTCGTGGACGCGATTCTAACCGGCGGGAAGAATTCTTCCACGCGGCTATCGGAGCCGGTCGAGCAGATCTCGTGGACAGATCCGAAAAGCTCGTAGTCGGAGATCAGAGTGAAGACTTAGGCATCCTCCTGGTAGTTATCGGTCCCTCCGCCACATGGCATCTCTTGACGCGCGCGAGCGCGTGTCGTTAAGCTCCCTCGGTCGCTCGTTCACGCACACTCGCTCGTATAGGAGACGCGTTAGGATTATTTTACGCGTTGCACGTATGTCGACGGTCACACCCAGACTGACTATTTTTAAGAACGCCCGGCCAATCACAACTGGGGAAAATCGCCTTCGAACCCGCTGTTGCTCCGCCTCTGTGCTGTCATAGATGCACGAGTTTGGCAGGGACTCATCACGGGGTGTGGTTTAATCATTAATGAGAGTTAGATTCGTCAGACAGGAGGCTTTCGGCTGCGGCAAAATCACCGGCGAGCGACGTCGGCTATTACGCGCGAGCCTGGGGTTTAAATCAACGTTGGTAGCACGGTGGTCCGAAAGCATAACAACCCGGACGAAGTGCTAATCGACTAAGGACTGCTATCACGAACATTAGTTACGGTTAACTGAGATTTAAACGTTCCTCGGTTTCCCTTACTTCTAGCTTCCTCCGGAGCAAGACAGTTGATTATTTATCGTGTTAACATTAATGTATCTACTAGAAATTTTACATCGCTCGTATATTTCTTTAGTAATAATACGTTTATCACTGATTTATTGTTGTATGGAAAAAGAACGGTTTTACTAAAATATCGAAAAATTTAACTAGATACAAACCTGTGGAAATAACTTTATTAGACCGTCAAAGTAATTATTTAGGACGCTCCCTGCTTGCTAGAATATCAAAACTTTTTGAAGCATTACTCGTCAGGCCTGAAATTCCTACGTAATTGTTTTGACGGAACAACAAAATTATTTTCAGATATTAATTGTTAGATAATTCAGCGCAAAATCATTCTTTCTATGTAAATATAATTCTGTTGAATTATTTTAAGCATACTCTAACAAACTTTGATAATGAAATAAAACCGAACTTGCAAACATCCATGAGTTTTTTTAACATTATCGTAAAAAAACATGTAGTAACTCAAATACCGACATTGCACACTTTTAGAAATTGGAAAACAGTGATAACAAAAGCTTGATTTAAAGAAATTTTACACATTGATCCATCACATTAAAACTCTTATTGATGATATCAATTAACTCAGACACCATAAAAAATAATGCTTTGAGAACAGGCTTCCATTTAATTTTTGATATCTCGACAAATCGTAAAACAAAATATTCTTCTCATAATTATTATTAGTTTGCAAAATTCAATCTCCGATCGCTTTCTAATTTAACAGTGTCAATTATACGTACGTATTTCATTCGATAAGTTTCTGCGAATATTGGGAGAACAATTTCTGGTATGTTCCAGCATAGAATTCGAAAATGTTTAACTGAAACGTATCAGTTTATAGTTGGACACTAACAAAAAGAAAAAACGTTCATTACAGCGAACCGTGGTTTTTGACAGATATTCCAATACGTGTCCGATAGTCGATCCGATTTGCGGTCTAGCTGGAGAGAGAGAGAGAGAGAGAGAGAGAGAGAGAAAGCGAGGAAACTATAGCGAAACTGCATATATAGGGCGCCTATATAGATAGCTGCCGACTCGCTGGCTAGTTACGCAGATACGTAAACTTTATGTAAATCTAGCGGTGTCTGTCACATTTTACGCTCCGTGCTTTCACGGAATTAAAATAGACTATTGAGCGTCGAATAAAAGCTAAAATTGCCCTGGCAACGATCCAGACGCACGGAGATAGAAAACGGGGTGAAGTTTTAACCTACCGAACATCAGTTCTGTTGAATACCGATCGTCACAATAATCCGCGTGCAAAAGCGCAGTGAGTGTCCATGCGAAAATGGCGGTGTTAAACGGAACGACGTTTTCCGCAGCGAAGTAACGATCGAATGTCAAAAATCACGAGTCATATCATCGCGAAAAACAGCAGTATGCGATTTGCAGCGCAATGCCGAAGGAAATAGGAATATAGAAACAGGAATTCATGAGAACAAGCATCGATTAATCCAAAGATCCATGATTTATTAATTCTTTGTAACTCTGTGTCAAATTTAAATTGACATTATAGGCCTGTTCTTTTTGACTGAACTTTTGCACCAGTTCATCTTTCTTCCTTTTCTCTCCAGGAGAAAAGAAGAGGAAAAAAGATGAACTGGTGCAAAAGTTCAGCCAAAAAGAACAGGCTTTATGCTTCGCACAGTTCTCTAAGCAATCTTTTGAAATGATACGATTACAAATCAGCAAATTATATTTTTAAATATTAATTATTACTACAAACGTACGTAATTCCGAAAAAATAATAATCTTTAATAAGCGAATAATTGTTAGATATTTATAAATCATTATTTAATAAACAATAAAAATTCTTTGATTCGTATTAGATCAAATTAATGGAATACTTGCTCTTTATATTAATTTATAAGAAATAATTGAAACCAAGGATAATCCAACATGATGAAATAAGTACAAAAGAGTAATTTAATGGCAATACATTACGTATATGTATAATATTTTTATGTTAGATAATTGCCTATTCTAGAATCGATGTTAAATAAGATTATCTCGCTTTTGCAGTAAAGCAATGGTGAATATTGAATCATGAGACGTCACTTGTTCAAACATTCACGTTCGGAATCGCTATCCAGCGTTTAATATGCTGTGTGCCGATTATAGGAGAACGGACAGTGGTCCTGAATAAATAATATTCGAGGAATATCCGCGCATTTATCAAGTATATATAAATTTAATATATTGAAAGATAATCCTTAAATATATTGAAAGATTCTTCGAAAATAAGAAAAGGAGATACAAGGTTTCATTATATATAACTTTATTGGAGAAAATTCCGTTTTGATAGAAATTAAAAGATATCGATCAGTTTACAGTTTATAACTTAGTTGATTGCTAATCGGTTTTAAGATTAAAAATTCAGAGAAAAGTTGGCAATAATTCATCTCTAAAGTCCCGCTCTGAAAAATTATTACACAAAGATGCATCGAAGCGCATTATCGGGCATCGTTAATGAGAATCGCTTCGGAAAGAAAACTAACGCTGCCAATATATATAGCCATCACGGCACCTACATTCGCGACAAGGACTTTTATTAAAATCCCATTCGCACAGTTCCGCGACCCCGGTACCTCTTGACAGAAGAGACAAGGCCAATTACCGTTAAAAGCGGTTATTATCGAACGACGTTAGAAAATCCCCGAGATGAGAGTGCGGGGTTTCATCCCCACCCGTGGACGATGTCACGTACATACGTCGCGGGGTGTAAAGACGCGCCCTTTGCGTCACTTTGCGTTCCCGGTCGCAAGCAACCCGACGAGAAGCGGTGTGGCTCGGACTTCATTTCTCATTCGCTGTCGCAGCATCCGGCGGTACATACCCGAAGCTCCCGCATTCTCGCATACTGTACACTCCGTGCACGCACGCGTACGTATGCATATATGTAAACACGAATAACACACATACACGTGCGTAAACACGATGACAAGTGCGCGCGCGCGCGCGCGCGCAAGCACGGGGTAGACCTCCCTTTTGCACCACGTCGTGGAAGCTCGGCACGGCTTCGGACGTACTCGTCTCGCCAGGGTCGAGAGGAGGAGAGAGTAGGAGAATCACGAGGTGCAAAGAGTACAAACCCCGAGGAGCGAGACGCAAAACGGGTCACTCTCGCCTCCTTTCAGGATTCGGCTAGCTAGGATACCTACATCTGCCAAAGTTCACGGGAGGGCAATGCCTCGCCCACTTTTACGGGAGCATCACCGGAACTATGTCTTAACCCTTTAAGCATCCCACCTCTTTACTCTTGGATTTTTGTTTTTCGAATCAATTTTCTAGCATCTTTAAAAACTTAAGAGCATAAATGAAAAAAGTCAGTAGATTCTTGTTAGTAAATGGAGGATCGGAAAAAGGAAAAATTCCAGAAGTTCTTAAAAAGTTGAAGTTCTGTTTTTTTTTTTTTTTTAGAAAAAATATGCTTTTTCCTAATACTACTCACAAAACGACCGTAGAGAAAAATTCAGGAATACTAAAATTTTGAGAAATTTTGTTCTTATTAAATATTTAATGTGATTCTTCTTGCTTAATTACTTTATTCCGTTATGAAGAAAACTTAAAATAATCGTTTGTACTTTCCTAATTTATAATTCAGAAATTCAAAATTTCTTGGAAATTCTGAACCAATGCTCCGAGAAAACTCGGAGGAAGGTTTGTTTGAGAAAATCGAGCGTAATGGAAAGTATGTGCTTCGAGAGAGTTAACAGGCTGCCTCGGCAGCCAACGTTCCGTTGTCCTTTCGCGCTGCGGCACGGCGTCGCGCGTCGCGCGTAGTTTCGGTGTAATCCGATGTGACTTCGTCAGCCGTCTTGAATTCTCTTCGACGTGTATCGGCCGGAGTGTTGCCTGGATGCCACGGATGGTTCCAACGTCGAAGGACGTTACGATGCGATGGATCGACGCAACGTTGCAGATCTCTCTCGGCTCCCATCAGGAATAATCTGCTCATAATCATGCGCGCGCTCTCTCTCTCTCTCTCTCTCTCTCTCTCTCTCTCTCTCTCTCTCTCCTGGGTCCAGGGTAATTGCAATATTGGCTCGACACTCATTAAATAGTTGTCTTTATGTATACAGGATAATGTTCTTAATAGTGACAAATAATAAGCCATAAGCATTTATAGGAATAAAATAGAATAATGAGTAGGGGAATGCACAACATATCATTCGCCATCGAAATTAAACAATAGACTCGAAAAAATAATAAAGAGAAGCGAAACGACTTTGATATGTCATTTCCATAGAGATGTAATTTTGCAAATTTATAATTTACAATAGTATATTTGCAAGCTAAGAATTTAATATTCAAAGATTCGGTAAACGTCAACAAAACGATTTCCAAAAATTCCTGATTCATTTTAACCAGTTATTTTAACCAATTGTTTCATTTATGTAAAAGGAAGCTTAGGATGTCATATAGTCTATAATCACAGACACAAAATTTTGATTCGTTTATTCCATTTGTTTGAATTCC